TATCAACAAAAGATTCAGAAATGCAATGGTTCATTGCAAAACCTACCCAAGTGCAAACTGCAAAAGCAATCATTGTCCTGTTATTTGTAAACTAAGAGTGAAACTGTGGAAATTGAAGAAGCCTAATGCAGCACCCAAATTGCAATAAAACAAACTTCTGAGTCAACTGTACCTCAAAGAAAAATATATGAACAATGTGAAAAGAAGATATGATGAACACAATGCAAAGGAGACAGAAAAGTTTGCCAAGATATGGAACAGAATACAGAAAATTACATAATGAAATAAGGACCAAATGCAGGCAAGCTAAAGAAGAGTGGCTAAACAAAAAATGTGCAGAAATAGAGAGATTGAGTACCACCAACCAAGGAGTTATGCACAAACAAATAAGGCAACTAACAGGACAGAAGACATGCTTGTCAATAGGCTGTTTAAAATCAAAGGATGGAATGCTCATATTAGAGAAGGAAAAAATTATTCTTTAATGCTGGAAAGAATATATTGGAGAACTCTTTCATGTTGAAAGAGAACAACCAACAATATGCAGAATGACCAATGGACCTGAAATTATGAAAACTGAACAAGGCAGCCGGGCCAGAGAGAATTCTAATGGAAATGAAATGCTGACAGCTTTAGATGACTTTGGTATAGACAAGATCACAACAGTGGGGATATACTAGAAAATCTCAGCAGATCTATCTTCATAGCAATGCCTAAGAAACCAGGTTCAAACAAATGTGAACTACACTGAATAATCAGCCTAATGAGTCACATAACAAAACTCATCATCCTTATTCTGATGAACAGAGCACGCAGTAGAATCAGTCTAGAGATAGGACAAGAACAGTACGTGTACGTTAAAGACACTGTAACAAGGAACGCGATATTCATGCTCAGAATGTTATCAGAAAGAGTAATACAAATACATAAGGACATGTACCTATGTTTCGTAGATTATGCAAAGGTCTTCAATAAAGTACGCCACAAGGATTTATTGGAACTGTTCAGCAACTTTGATATATTTGGGAAAGATATTAAAATAATCAAGAACCTGTACTGGCAGCAAACAGCATGCATGAGAAATGAGTTCAGTGAATATACAAAAATAGAAAGGGGAATAAGGCAAGGATGTGTCTTCTCACTGGATCTATCCAACCTATACAGTGAAACAGTTCTGAGAGAATTGGAAGGATTCAGCATCGGCAACCACAATCTTAACAACATAAGATACGCAGATGATGCAATACTGATTGCAGACACAGAAAAGAAATTACAAACCTACAGAAATAGTGAAAGAGAGTGAGAAGAAAGAACTAAGCATAAACTACAAGAAGACAGAGTCATCAGTAAGAGGAAGAGTCCGAAATGCGATTTGCAGGATGGAGACATTAAAATCAAGCAGGTGCAGAAGTTTAAATATCTGGGAAGTGTTTTGACAGAGGATGGCAAGTGTAACACTGAGATCCGTAGACATATTGGAATGGCCAAGGATGCATTCCAAAAACTGGGCAGAGTATTGCAAGACAGGAGGATCTCTTTGGTAACAAAGAAAAGAGTACTGAGCTGTTATGTGACATCTGTCCTCCTTTATAGCAGCGAATGTTAGACAGTCTCCTCAAAGATGATGAAGAGATTCAAGGCGGCAGAGATGTGGTTCTACAGAAGGATACTGAGGATATCATAGACTGAGCGTGTGAGCAACAATGAGATCTTAGAGAGAATGCAAACAAGGAGGAGGCTTATACTTAAACATCAGGAAGAGGCAGCTGAAGTTTCTGGGATACGTAATGAGAATGGAGGGCCTAGGGAATCTGATACTCACAGGTCAAATAGAGGGAAAGAGAGACAAGGGAAAGCAATGCATGACATACCTAGTGGGCTTGAGCAAGTGGATGACAGAACATGGTCTGGGGAATGTGGCAGAGGGACAAAACTTATTGAGATCTACAAGGGATAGGGGAAAGTGGAGAGCCATGATCACCTACGCCCTGAAAGGACAGAGCACATAAAAAGAAAAAAAGATGGTGAATGATGGAGAATCTTAAGAATAGTGAAGCTGAAAAGAGTTCATGCAAAAATTTGGACCATCAGCAAAAATTTGACCTTTCTTTTTTAAGTTAAAATGATTTTTTTTTTTTTGTGCAAAAAGTGGTCTTTATTATTACAGAAAGTACAAAATGTCAAAATATGGACTTAGTAATTAGTATTGCTGCTTTTGGCTCAAATAATTGCATCAATTTGTTGTGACATTAAATGGAACAAGGTCCAGATTTATCTATTGAGAATTTTTTCCCATTCTTCTGGGCAGTAATCTCAAAGCTCTTGGAGATTGTGTGTGTGTGTTTTTTTTTTTTTTTGAGCATTTGTTTCTTCAGTTCCCATCACAATGGTTGAATTATATTGAGCTCAGGAATTTGTGCTTGGCAGTCTTCTAAAATTTTCATCTACAAAAAACCTTTTTCTTACACGTGATTTATGGCAAGGAGTGCCATCATACTGAAAAAATTTTCCATCTTTGTAGTCTCACAGAAGATTAAACCAAACTAAATATAATTTTTGCTGTTTAGGTTTCCATCAACTTTTACTAATTTCCAGAGGTGGGTACCGTTAATCAAGAAGTTATCTTCATTAACTGTTAATTTGTTAACCAAAAAATTAACTTTGTTAAGTGTTCATCAGTTAGCTCTTTAAAAATGTAATGGAATTTATTGATAAATTGTAAACGTCAAATTTTATTGTAAAAAAAAAACAAAACAAAATTCTGTTTTTTCTCTAGAACCACATAAAAACACCTTTAAAAAGTGCCAAAACTATAAAATCAGCTTTTTTTTGGTCTTTTTAAGGGCTTCAAAACCCCAAAACTTTTTTTGCTTGATAGTTAGAAAAGGCTAATTTTAGTTTTAACTTTTAAAAGACTTAAAAAAACTGATTTGATAAGACTTTTAGATCCAAAAAGGGTGAAAAAAAATGAAACACAATAAACAATTAAATTAAAAAATTTATTGATAAAAAACTGAGAAACTGAGTTCTGAGCCTGTTCCTGCTGAGGTCTAGTGGCACTGGCAGTTTTAACTTTGACAACATCAACATATTCAAGTTCTTGAGATGCCATGATGATGTATAAAAGTCAAAATTACAATAGTGTCCTTATTGGAAATACGAAAATAGTAGAAAATTTCAAATAATACAAGTGTTTTTGAAGGATTAAGTGAGGATTTGTAATAGTTTTAGTTATTTTATTTATTTTAGGAAAAACAATTGGATACTATGCATTTAAATTTAAGTGATGAAATGAAATAACTACAAGGCTTTTTTTAAACTAAAGATATAGAAGCAAGAGAATGAGAGGAAAAGGAAAGAACATTCAAATGAATAAAGTCATTAATGAAAGCTGGGCATCATCAGTCAAAAATGACAACAATAGATTGAAAAGAAGAATGATAAAATATAGAATACAGTCTTTCACTCAATCAAATTTTAAGAATATTTGAATCATCTGCTTTTTGGAATATATATGAAAAAGAACTCTAGAGAAGGAGGAGTTATTTTTGATTTGAAACACCTGTTCTCTATATTATATTGTAGTATACACTTACATCTCATTGAATATATATAAACTATCTCTGAATAAGTTTCTCTTGCTTCTTGAAATCTTTCATTTATTTTTGTCATTTTTATTTGACTTTTATTAATGGAAGTTAAATGTAACAGAATTTAATTAGTCCAATAATGATTTTCAAAGTTAACTTAAAAGTTAAATCATTAATGAAAATATTAGCTTCATTAATTAATGATTAATGGATTAATGGTTTGGTGCCTAACTCTGCCAATTTCTTTCTACCGTTGCTTTTGATGCAACCCATACCAAATTTTACCATCTTTGTGGCATGTCTGGCATTGTTTCTTTCTCCTACTGGTCTTCTGATACATTCTCTTGCATTAAAATGTAACTATTTTGCATCTATTACTAGAAATTACTTTCCATATTAGATGTTCTTTTGACAACTTCAATCTTCTATTCTTATTGGTTAATTGATGGTCAATTGAAACCTAACTGTTCTGGCTGTTAATTTTGGATTTTGGAATTTTCTGATTTTCTTTGCACTTAAAACACTTTCAGTAATAGCAAATGTCTTTTGGGTGGTTTGAACGCTGTTTCTGGAAATTCCCAGCTGCCTTCTCTCATCATCTTCCCCTTCAAAATCACAACCTTCATTTTTGTTTCAGCATAAACTTTAGCTATGGATTCAGTGTAAAAATGCAAACCCACTATTCACCTACAATGACTTGTATTTAACATCTTACATTTGTGTTAATCAAATGGAACAATTTATGCTTAAAAATTTGATAATAATCTTGTCTTTATCATCTCAGATCTTTCATTTGCTCATGCTTCATTTGTATAGCCTCTTTTCAGCTTCAAGCTGCTTAAAGGAGTATATTTTCTGTTACACAGTACCTATGAAGATTTTTCAATCTTCAAGGTTTACAGACACTGCTAATAAAAATGTACTGCTAAACAATCTTAATTTCTTAATAAAATAAAGATGTATAATCATTTTATGCAGTTGACTCAAAACTTCTGCATGCCTGTGCTGTGTGTGTGTATATATATATATATATATATATATATATATATATATATATATATATATATATATATATATATATATATATTATTCTCAATAATTAAATTAAAAAAATTGCAATATATATATATATATATTGTAATTTTATGTTTAATCTATAAATTATTGAGTACAATTTTTTTTTTCATGAAGCTATAGATTAAATAGGACCTGGAAAAATAATTGTTATTCTCAAAAAAATTATTAATTCAATATTCACTGGCAAAAAGGAATTATTATTATTCTTAGAATCTGAAATATGTTTAGGCTTTAAATATCTCACAAATGATTGATAAACCGTAAAAAACAATCTACATTTTTTTTCTTCAAAACAACTTTTAAAAATGAGTTCATTTTTTTTCTTTGTTATAGCAAAGGGAGCTAACCCGACTGTCTGGATATTTGGAATTTATTTTAAAGCACAATAAGAAAGCATACACTCTTCTCATGTCTACAGACTATGCCCGGGAGGAGTGGAAAGAAGCACTTTATGGCTTGAAAGATAAATGTAAGTTTATGTAATTCATTTGAGTTGAGTATAATTATTTTCTCTTTTGTGTATTTTATGAAGAGCTTAAATATCGCCTGTAATAAATATTATCAAAAATACCGAACTTTTATATTGCCTAAATAATAAAATAAATTACATCTACCTTTTATATTTTCTTTATTTAATTTGTTTATTTTTTGTCAATATTTATCTGTCATGTTGGAAGGATATCTGCCAAAGCATAATTATTTAACTAAAGTTAAAATAAAATCTTAATTTTTTTTTATTCACAGTACATTTATCTTTTAGATAAAACTAAATCTACAAGGAATGAATATTTATTGTATTTTGGGGTGGGGGGAGATAAAAAGTATGATTTTTATTTACATAGTAAAAATAAACCCCATGAGATGAATGAAAAATAAACAATGAAAAAGTTGATAGTATGAGACTCCCTACAGCTAACAAAGAAAAACAAGTTAACTTGGTGAAAATATAGTGAGAACATGTAGAAAAACTAAAATAAAAAGCTAAATTAAATTTTTCCACTGCTCCAGAAAAACTGTGCCTTCTGTCACCTAAAAGAGTATGGAAGGGGGGAAATGAAAAATGTGGGAGACTAAAAAAAACAAAAGGAGGCCAGTGACTATTCATACCCTAGCCAAGTTAACCAATTTTCAGAAAAACAAAAGACATAAACTGCTGCTCTAAGCTAACTGGGTTGGGTGGGCAAGATTTCCCCTCTTCCACCCTTCAGCAAAGTCCTCCCCATCCTGAACTTGACCTTCAGCTGGTGCTGAAAGAATGCAACCAGGTGATGGGTAGGGAGAGGCAATGCTCCATGAACTTCATTCATACTTGTCCATACTATGACTCACATCATAGCTAGAAAGCACAAAAACACAAAGTGCTTCCTTCTGTCTATCAACGAGTTCATGTTACTACAAACAGAAGTGGCCTCAAGGCCAAAGAATTGTCCCTGCAGCATACGGACCATGTAACTTTTGATAAGCTTTCACAGTGGACATATGACCAGGCAGTGAAAGAAAGCATGCTCAATATATTCTCATATTTCACTACACTGGATGGATTCTGGCAAAACAACCAGTCTCACTGCAAAAGATTTTTGCTGATCCACAGTGCATTCTGAATCATCAGATAGGTGAGTTTTGCCTTGGATGGATAGAGGTAGCAGAACTTGCAATGCACCATAGGAATTTTGTTTCCCCAGACAAAGCTCTTACTAGATAAACTATGCTGGTGGATGGGAATGGTAGAACTGAAAGACAGTAAAGCACAAGGGGGTATATGTATGTAATGCCACACCTTGGCCTTCCCCTTCAAGGAAAGATTCTTTCACAGCCAGAGATTAACCACTGCTGCAACCTTCTTCAGAACTTCTGATCAATTCTTTGACAGTTGGAGGTCAGGACTGGACCGGATGCCAAGTATTTTGTGCAGCCCGTTTGTCCAATTGAAGACAACAGACCTGTCATGGTTAATTTTGGCCCTTATGACCATCTCACATGTCTGGATTTCTCTTCCGACTTTGTCAATCTTTGCGCTGCTTGTTACAAATTTGGAAATGTCATTGATGTGTAGGTAGTGTTAGATTGCTGACTGCTTGGGAATACCAGGTGCTGTAAGCTTGGATGTGGGGGGGTGTAATGGATAATGGCTCAGAATTGTTAATTGGAGAGCTGAATTTCAATTCCTGTTGGGTTCGTTAGTCACTTACATGCAAATACCATTGGGGAAAGGTATGAATCCATCTCTTCTCCCACAACTATGGGTTAATTAGTAAGACTTGTATCACTAAGCCATTATTATCTCCCCCATCCCAAATTCTTACAATCTAAAAATATTTTCTGGCTTTAAATAACCTACAACGGGTTGATAAGCCATAGAAAATGAATCAACCTAAACAAATCAACCAGATAAAGTAATCTTGCCAATGATATGGATTCACCCTCCACCTGCCAGGAAAGGCTCCAGTACAGACACATAGATCAAGGGCAAAAGGGGTCACTCCTGATGAATGGATCAGGAGAAGATGAAAGGCTTTGATCTTACCTTGCTCACTTCCCCCACAGCACTGGAGCTTGTATACAAAAGATGAATACAGGAGTGAAAGTATGGCTTAAATCCAGCTGCAGACAAAACAGCTTCCAAGAAACAATTGTCTATCCTATCAAAGACCTTGGACTGGTCCAAATTGATCAGCATGGCTTCTTTGATGACTTTTTCTGTGATTGTGCAAACCAAATGAAGGATATCTTGGATCATCCAGCCCTTTATAGTACAATTATATTCAAAATCTTTAACTGTGTTATCGTTAAGATCTGAAAGTTACTCATCCCATCCCCTCCATGTTTGTTTTTGCATAGCAGCTTCATCACACATCTGATGAAATGCGAGGGAATAGTCTGCTGTTCCATCCAATGCTGAAGATAATTTCTACCAATGGGACCATCATGCACTTCATAGGGCAAACCATCAGTGCTCAGCAACTAGCTGCTTCAGTTACCTCAAGGCAAGGAAAGTCAGATGGCGTTCCTGCTGAAAAGCTTTCTCTGCATATGCCCTTGACCATTGTCAGGATTCTCCCATTCAGTAATGTGACAATGTGTGATATACTGATTAGAGGCACTGTGAAATTCCTCTGCATACAATTCTATAGACATTCTTTTTAATCTAGCTCTAACTACTTGAGCTTTGTTTTTCTTGTTAAGCAAGGAGGCCAGCTCAGTCTTAGCTATAGCTACATTATCACTATCTCTTGATTTTACAGAACCCTATATTCTAAATTCTAGTGCCTTTTCTGTCACTATTCTATCGATTGAATCATCTACTATAATTAGTGGCAAAAGATGTAATGGTAACCTTAAGGTGTCCTCACCACTTATTCCCAAATACAGACCCTGACAGTTCTGCTGTATTGTTAGTAGCAGCTGATCCAAGAAATCCTTCATGTTCAACAAAGAAATATTTAGTTTCCAGTACCCAACTTGATCTAAGCTTAAACTTAACAAAGTTTATGCAGACCTGGACAAGCCTATGGTCCAAATAAACTACATTATGGAAACTTGTACAACCTAAGAGCCCTAAATCGATTCTTAACTAGAACCTGATCTATCAAGGATGGCATTCCAATCACCCACTAAAACTTCCCATTTCGATGGTATCACAAACTGATTTGCTGAAAGAAAGCTTTCCGCTCCTGACAGTCATTGGAAGCATAAACACCAAGGAATTGGAAAGTTTTCTTTATGGTAACATCAAGAAGGCACAACCTGCTAGCCAGATCTGCAAAGACAAGTGAACAGTTTGTGTCCAAAGATTGACTTACTAGCCAAAAAACACCCCCCAAATGGTTATCAAAGTATGCTGAGAAGAGGCAAAACCTTCTCGACAGCACACCCTCATTGTTGCTTGCATTAAGGTATATCTCTTGAATACAACAGACATTCATTCCAAGGCATTGGAGATCAAAAGTGATTTGAGCCTTTTTCAACTTAAAACCTCGACCCTCGTCCACTCAAACATGTTAACCAGAGAGCCATGATCAAGGCTTATTGGCATTGAACTTCAGGATATTGACAGCCTGTCCTATAGACCATTAGCCTATTTCAGTCTTCATTGTGCTGTCTTGAGGCAGCCTCCCAATGTCCCCAGTAAAAGTTTAACTGCTCTATACAGGGATGAGTAAATAAATATAGGACCCTCCCAGAACAGTATTGTTTTAAATTTTGCAGTTCACATCATCAAATATGGCTGGTGGAGAAGACATCTTGATGGATTGGTTTGCCTTCTCCAGCATTGCCCATATTTGCTGTGTGCCTGTAATAACACTAAGGGAAATATTTTTGGTCGTCAATGCTCTTCTGTCCAGGATCTATTTTTTGAAAGTTATAGAGGATCCTTGAGTCTCCAGGTTAACACAGTAAATGTCTTCCTAGTGATGTTTCTTTAGGTTCAACATGTTTCTTAAGTGGGAACTTCTCTTTTGACCCTTTAGTTGAGGAGCTCTGTGGTCTTTGGTCGTTTTCTGTGTTAGTGGTGGTAATAGTGGCTGTTGTAGTGGTGGAAGTGGTGATGACAATTTTTGACATAAGGCAGAGTTAATTGTTTTTGCATTAGTTGGGGATTTAGGAGAGTGGGGGTTGGTGTTTTTTTATTGCCTGGTTTTGTTTTATAAGGAAGAAGGTGGCAAAAATGATTTACCTTTGGGGGAAGATTTTTACTGGAGGAAGCAGCTCTGTCCATTGACCATTCTTCTATATTCTTGTCAAGTTTCTTCTGCACCAATTTGTCTCTTTTACCCTGCTCTCCCAGGTTCCTCTCTTTTTTAATGTGTCTATATAGGATTGGGTTGTTGCTCTTTTGTTGTAACTAGGCTTTAACATGGACTGTGGCGCCAATATTTGTGATTTTCTTCCCTCTTTTATGACCTGCACTCCCCATTCATGTCTTCTTCCACATTTTGTGGAGAGTTGGAGTGGGTTAGGTAGTCTGTATTTTTCAGGTTGAGCTTAACTGCAAACACCTTTTCTGTAATTTTTCCATGGAGTCCTTTGAAGTTTTTTATGTGAACTTCTTCACAGGGCATGCTGCAAAGTCATGCGCAGTCTCTCTACAGTGCCAGTATGCTAGTTACCTTCTGGAAACAAGATCTTGGAGTTTCCTCCTATCTAGTTTTATCCATCTTTTTTTTTTCTTTGTGTATAGCACCTGATTGTACTAGGTGCCAAATGTTGATTCCTTATGGGAACTGAAGTGTTAAAATTATTAATGTAATCACAAGTTTTAAAAGTTATACAGATTTTCCATGAGAAAAATAAAAGTATGATAATGAGGTGATCTTGGCATGTATTCATACAAAATATATGAACAAATATATTTTTACTATAAGTGGAACCTATACATCATGTCAGTGTCTTTTCCAGAATATTTTTGCTATATCGGTAGTGTCAGAGCAGATTCAGGTGGCTTCATTTTAAAGTTAATGAATTGATTCTCCTATACATTTATTGTTTCATCTATATACTCACATATAATTCTGTACATGCATATCTATTTGTGGTGGGGAAACAACAATTAAGTTCCACCAACTACAATGGTTACCTTCTATCAAAGAGAAACTTCCTTTCAGGCACTTGAAAGGAAGGAGATAAAGTAAATTCTATGAAGTGTAGCAGTCTCTAAGTGATAATATTTCATCACAGCTAAAAGTATAAATATATAAGTGGATGAATATTGCTGCCACACCTGGCCTGGCACTCCTGATATATACTTATAGAGATCCTTGATAAAATCTAAAGACTAATCTGCAATGTCAATGGTCCTGATGGCTTCAGTTGCTTTCTCTAAGCTTTTCCTATAAATACTTCCATGGTAAGTGTTCTGAATTTTCATCTCTGGTGCCTAGACCTATAAATTTTAGCTCAGTACTAGATTGGTGGGAAGGTTTCATCATTTTACAGTTGAAATGGCTAGATGCAACTTAAGTTCTATGCTAACAGTTTCTTTTCTTGCATATCTTGCTTGTCAAGTTTGATCTTCAAAATTTTAAATGCAGCATCAATCATTATCTTGTTTTCATAATTCCTGTTCTTTTGTGGTTCTCACTCCCTAATAAAGTTTTTCTTTTTCTGATATTCTTTCACACTCAGTAACACTCTGCATCTTAGTGGCTTTATTGCTTTGCTTGGGCTGAAGTGTTAAAAAAAATATCTGCAGTTAGGCATTTTACATTTGTGTTTTAGGTTGTGATAATGAATCCTTTTGGGATCATTGATCCAGTTTGATTTTCAGGTAAATCTACTTTAAATTTTAAAGTTTAAAATTTTAAAGTGGTGATTTGCAAAGTATGTTGAGATGTAAACACAATGAAATACAGAAATGAATAATGAAAGGATTACAAGACAGCCAAATTTTTCAGGGAGGACAACTCTTAAAACACATGAAAGACTACCATACTTATGAAAATGGGTATGTTTCTACACTAAAAAAAATGTTAAATTATTTTTAAAAATTTGATGCAAAAGGACTTTATTAAGCTTTTCAATTTTTGATTCGTAAATATAGTTTTCACTTAATCATATCACCTAACCAGATTAAAGTGATGAAGAATTTAAATCATTTAAAAATGATTTAAATTATTATATTCATTATAATAATTTAAAAAAATTAAAACATTTCTTGCAAATATTCATTATTCATTGAAAAAATTTTTTTTCTTAAGACAAAAAAAAATTTTAAAAATATTTCCATTCATTTGGGAATAAGTCCTGAAAGTTTCATTAAAATAATTTCAAAATCAGTGTGTTTTACATCTAAAAAAAAAAAAGAAATTGCACTAAAACAATAATTATTTACATTATTCAGAATGTTGTTCTCATATTGCCATATTCACAACATTTCCACTATTGTATGCTCCAGCTGTCTTCAGGTGATTGGAATTTCAAACTGAAGCCTTTATTTCGTCCACTGTGGTAGATTGTTCTAGTTCCATGTGCTATACCTCTTCCAGATGTCCCAGTTATCTCCTTTTAACTCAACTCTCCAGGCTTTTGTTCATCACTGCTGTAGCCAGGTATTGAACTCACAACTTAAAGACACATAACCCAGTGGATGAAAGTGTTATTAGGATCCAGTGACTTGACCCAAAGAAAGTGCTGAATAAAAAACTTGGAGAGTTGAGTGAAAGGAGATAACTGAGTCACCCAGAAGTGGCATGGCATATGGAAGTAAAACAATCTACCCCAGTGAAATAAAGAGTTCAGTTCAAAATGCCAATCACTTGATAAAGGCCGGGGCATACAATGGCCAAAACGTGAATATGGCAATAAAGATGAGGACAACAGTCTGAACAATGTAAATAATGTAAATGATTACAATACCTCATCTCAGAAACATAGTCAGATAAAACACTAATTGTAAATATTATGTCTAGTGCTAATGCAAAAAAAAAAAAAAAATTAACCAAAATTTCGAACATGCTAGAAAGGACTAAAAAATTTAATAAAATACTAAAAATACTTTGGTCTTTCTTCTTAATATCATAAACATAAAGCTTTCTTTTTATTAAGTTTGGGACCTTTTTTCATCATGCTATACTGTTTTTTTTTGTTTTTTTTCAACAATAAAGTGGAGGTGCCTATTTTATAGATTATGAATAATATGATATTTATTTTTTTAGGTGTTGACACAAATTTTACAGGATCTGAAGTACAGCAATTAATATCAAATTGCAAAAAGGTAACATTATTTTCAGTATTTAATATTATTTTAAGAAAATAAAAATATCTTTTCTTTCATTATTGGTATAAAATTGTATGAATGACAAAATGAAATAAAATCTATGTAATGTGTTTTGTCCTCTTTTTTGAAACTTATTTAGAAAATAGTACAAAGTATGAAAATATAAAATATGCATTAATTAAAATCATCTATTTATATTTCCTTTCTTGAATTTTTTCTAAAATTATGAATATTATAGATAGTTTTTATTTTTAATAATAAAATACATAATAAACATATATTTGAGTACATTATATAATTTAAAATACTTATTGCACATTCTTTAAAACTTATTAATGGGTGAGATTTATTTAAGAAATGCATCAAAGAATATTGATTTCTGTTCAGAATTTGAAGAATATCACTTTTAAAAAAATGTGAAATGCTATTTTGCAAGCATCTTAAAATAATCTGTATTGATAAAAAAATTGACATAAGGTTTATTTCATGACTCTTCCATGAAGTAAGTTAAAAATGATTTTGTACTCCAAAACTCCAATGATGTTGGTTAAATTATATCATTAGACCGAATCAACATAGACTCACTTGTCACTTCAGTACACATGAATAAATGCTTTCTTATGCAACTTTCTCATCAGCAAATTACATAGCAGTAATTTAATTGAGACAAGCATTTAAATATGATCATGGTGACCTGCTGAAATTCATTCCATGCATTAGTATGGGAAAAGTAGTGATTTAAATAACTTTGAATTCAGCATGATTGTTGGTGCCACACAAGTAGGTTTGTGTATTTCAAAAACTGTTGATCTATTAAGATTTTCATGCACAATCTTCTGTAGGTTTAACAGAATGATAAAAAAAAAATTCAGTGAGTCGTAATTCTGTGGGTGAAAATCTCTTGTTGATGAAAACAGTTGAAAGAGAATGGTTAGGCTGATAAAGAGGTAACAGTAGCTCAAATAACCATTCTTTTCAAGAATGCATAATGTTGAACTTTGAAGCAGCAGAGGACCATGCTGGGTGCCACTCCTGTCAGATAAAAACAAGAAACTGGGGCTATAATTTCATAAGGATCATAAAAGTTAGACAATAGAAACTTGAAAAAAACAACATTGTTAAGCCTTGATTTCTGCTGCAGCATTCAAATGGTAGGGCCTCAGCATAAACATCTTGAAAGTGTTGATCCCTCTGCCTTCTATCAACTGTTTAGGCTGGTTGTGGTGTTGTAATACCTTGGGGAACATTTTTTTGACATTCATTGGGACCTTTGTAACAATGAAACATTGTTTAAATGCTACATACCATCTAGGTACTATGGCTGACCATGTCTCTGAATTTAATGACTCAGCAGAACATTGTGCTAGGTCACAAATAAAAAATAGTGGCAGATTGGCTCATGGAATACAGTAATGAATTTTCTGTGTTAATGTGACCTCCAGTTACCTGATCCTAATCCTATAGAACACCTTCAGGATACGGTGAAAAGGGTGATTCAAATTCTGGATTTGCATCCAACTAATCTAGAAGAATTATGGGATGCCTAAATTTTGAAAGAATATTTTCAGAGCAATGCCAAATGTTAAGAAGATTTGAGTTGGTTCTAAAGGCAAAAAGTGGTCCAACTCAGTACTAAAATATACCTAATAATGTGACTGGTGTCATTCTCAATTAATAGTAGCTGTTCAATATATTAGTGATAAAAGAAAAAATATTTTGCTAATACTTCTATGTTGATTATTATTCTGAAAATGTGTTTATCTGTATGTGTGATGCTCCCCTCATACACATTTGATATATCCTAAAAATTGCAGTTAAATTTATGGGAAGTTTTTACTGGAATTTCAGCCATATAATTTTATATTCAATTTTTGTTTTTGGGAAAGAGAAAGAAAGAAAAACATTTTTGCACATTTGATAAGCTTATATATTTTCTAGATTGCAATGTATGGTGTCAAAAGTTAGAAAAAAGTTTCTTTAAAATCAGGCCTTTTGCTCAGCAGCATATCTGTTTTTAAACAGATTTTTCTTTTATATTATATAGGAACTTTCTGGATTAGTTGAAAAAAAAGAGTATGTTGTTTTCTTTTACCAACAAAATGATGCAATAATATTGTTTGCTGATTTTCAGAGCAAACTACTTCTCTAGACCATGGTGATGCTTAACATAAAAAAGCTTAACATTAAAAAAGAAAATCTTTAATAGTTAATACCAAAAGAAAAATTAGATCTGATATTTCTGGTTTGGAATTATTTCATGTTCAGTTTTAGATTGCTTCAGCAAAGTTTCAAACTTTTCTATGTATTATGATAAAAGTTTCCAATGACATCAGCCAAGAAGAATTTCTGGATTTCAAAATAGCTCTCATTTCCAATTGTATAAACTAATATTAAAAAAAGAAATTTTATAATACATTTAATTTTGACATTATTTACAAAATATATTAAAACACCACCATCAAACATTTAATTAATGATTTTATAAAAAAATGATTCTTATTTTTATAAGCTTTAATAACTATATGTATGTATGAGGGACACAGGTTCAAATCTTGCCATAGAGTGTAAATTTCTCTATAATAGGATTTCCTGCACATTCAGGCCAGTAGATAAAAATAAATAAATATACTGTTTAAAAAATAATTACGAGGATCCACTAAAAATATTGTTTTTAATAAAATGGAATGTTTATTTCAAACATAGGTATCCACTAAAAATAATGTTTGAAGTTAGTAATTGAAAAACATTAAGAATAATTTATTGAATACTACTTTGTTTAAATTAGGACAAATTTGAACTAGTTTGAAAGTTTCTGTATTTTTCAAATATTCAACTTGTGAATTCAACATTTTTTCATAGCTTCCAAATATAAGCAGCTTATTACCACATCAGCAAGCAGGTAAGTTTTTTTTCAATTTTCCTTTGTTTTGAAATATGCAACAACATTATTTTCCCAAACATTTAAATAACCCATAAAAATATATTTAACAATTTCTCAGAGCAGAATGTCTTTTTATTGATTAAAGTTTTCAGTCGATTAGTAATTATATTGCATTTTTGGGATTTATTATCATGTCTTTTATTACTTTCTTGTTTTGGCCATTGTACACTCAAGAATGTCTTGAGGAAGCTTTTATTGAAGAATTCACATAATGTTATGTGAAGGGAGCCTGTATGTACAGTAGCTGATACATGAAAACAATAAAATAACAAAAGAGAATTGGTCTGAAAAAGTAATAGAATTGGGTGATCACCTTGTCTAAAAGCATTCAGACAAAAAATTAACTTGTAATTTGTTGATATTAGGTTTAGCTGAGGCTCTCATAATAGAAATCTAGTAAACATTATACTTGCCTGTGTGGCAAATTTGCTATTGAGTAGGTACCCATAATAAATATAAGACATTAAGGATATATAATCTCATTATTAAATTAAAAAGATAAAGTAAGCATGTACTCAAACATTAGGAAGATGGTCAATAATTGTATTTAAATTATTCTGCTTATATCATGTATGAAAATGTAAGTATTGTTTTCTCTAAGTATGTTTATCATTTGATATATCTATTTAAAAAAAATTGTATTTTTGTTAGATGAATCTTCATGCTTTAATGAAGAACCTTTTGCTTGTAAATAAGGTATTAACAAAAATATTTTTTAATTTATCTTTATATACAACAAATAGCACTAGTTCTTGATGCAATTCAAAATCTAATCAAAATTTGTTATAAAATTTTTTAGTAAACAAATTAAAAAATATTTAATGAACATACTAAAAAATCAAATTTGTTATTCAAAGAGTTCTTTGGGTTATTTGCTAATGTAATTTTTTTCTTACCACAATTTTCCCCCCATAACCTATCCTTGGCCTTCCTCAGATCTAGGTAGTCTTTTCTCAGGGAATGCTGACTAAGATTCTCTTTTGTTATTATTGAAAACTGTAAAATAGAAGCAAAGTAGTGACAAATATACTGAATTTCCTTTACAGATTTCAATAGCAAAAATAGAAAACACTCCTTTACAAGTTCACTTGAACAAAATTTGGAATTAGATCAGTAGTCTGAAAATTCATGGAATGATAACTCAGCTCAGAATTACATAAATTTATCATTTATACACTGTTTGGATCTGGTATGTTTTGACTGCTCGGATATGATGAGCTTCACAATTAAGTTCATACAATGTAATTTGTGAGTTTTTCTTTTAAGAAACATATTGTTGCATTATTGAAAATGTGTAGAAATTTACTTAGAGTTATTTAATGATGGCTATAAATGTATATTCAGATTTTTTTTATTTGTATCTATATAAAAATCTCTTTTTATATATTTTTTGCATTCGTTATTGTTCTGGAAGAGATTTGTTTTTTACATATTACACAATTAGGCAAAATAATTTTTTTAATGCATTTTCTCCAAAACATGATGTTTTAAATAATGTTTATAACTTGATGACAGGAAATTGAAAAAGATCTTTAAGAAATAATTGTGTTAGCTGTAATTATTTTGCCATTTTGTAAGAAAGAATTCTTGGATAACTAAAAAAATTTTTTGTTGAAAAATATTTAATTATTTGAAAGGACTCGTTTTGTTTTCTATAACTGTGAGAAAATTAATTCTAAGCTGTGAATTGAACTTCTTTGTGTTGTTGACGTTACTACAATCTTTTGGGGATCCATTCTACAACCTTTCTCAGGAAAAAGGGATGTCTCTTAAGATACATATTCATTTTGTCTATGACAATTCAACTATTTTTTACTTCATAATTGATATTTGTCATCCCTGTTTATATTTTTGTTAACTTAATCAAAAAGTATTTATATGATACTTAAGATCCTTCTATATATGTATTATCTATGATATAAAAATATTACATGTACTTTTATTTTGCAGATAAAATTGAAGAGCATGGTTTAATAGGTTCATTATGTGTAACACTTCATGAATTAACTGGTCTGGATGAATCTTGTAGTAAGAATCACTTAATTTTATTTTTGTTCTAGAAAAATATGAAACCTCAGTATGCACAAAAATATTACTTGGGCTAGACTGATGGTCAGAATGGCCCTATCTAATCAATTGGTTAGTCATGTCAAGCCCTAATATTTATATACACCAAAAGCACTCATCACACTTCCAAATAAAAGGCATACACTCTATTGCATAATCTAACAAATATGCAAACATATACTCAAATATATAAGCAAAAAAAAACAAGTATTAGAATGTGGTGGCAAAGGTCAATGAGTTAGTGAGTTAAAATTACAACATCACCATTAGATTCTGATGGTAAAATGTGGAGAAATGGAAGACCTAATAGATGTTTGCAATAACTCATTAATAGGAGTATACCATTCCTGTATCATTGGGATGTTTAGGTGAATAGTCCCCACCCTACAAAGCATCTCCCTTCAAAGGGCTCCAGGAAAGGTGGGGAGCATGAATGATGAGATTTTAAATCAAACTTCTGTGATATCAAAAATTAAAAGGTGCCATCTAGAATAGAATTTAGTTCATTGAAACAGAGCTTAATGAAACATTTTATGGATTTATTGTACTTGAGTCAATAGAAGAAACTCCCTTTAATAAATTGTCACCATTTCTAATTTTAAAAAATTATATGCTTCAATATAATTCCTACATCTGTTAAAAAAATTATACAATATTAGTACAAGTAACAAGAAAGGCATAACCTGAATTTTTTTTAAAATGGACAACTTTTGACCAATTTTTTAATTCATCCAAAGGATTAATCAGAAGCTGTGACCTTGCGCCATTCTTCCTTGAGGAAGTTAAGACAAACCTGAGGAAACAGAAAGTTATAGAGTTCAAAAAGAATAAGTTTAAAAAATGAACAAAATTTTATCACCAATACCTATATACTTACATTTAATGCACCTAAACCTCTATCGGAAATAAAAATTGGATACTCTATTCTTAAGACAAAAACCTACATCCCTGGACCACTCAGATGCTTCTTGGCCACTACAAAAAACACTCCATTCACCAAAACCCCAGTGTGTGGAACATGTGAAGAGAATGGATTGGACCATTCCTGATTAACCTGCCAAAAAATCTCAAAGGGTCTAAATTTCAAGCAAGAGCCTACTGCTGGTTCAAAGGTGTGTGAGATCTGGAAATGAGAAAAAGAAATAAGAAGAATAAAATTTACTAAAAATATCACTTTTTAAGAAGCAAGAGAAATAACCAAAAGTACTTTCTTGCATTTTCATATGTCACAATTACAAAAAAAGAAGCTCCAAAAATCAACAAATAGAATGTCAAAAATGTAGTATGATAAAAAATAAACTTTGTGAATTGAAATCGGATAACTTCACTCATAAATGAAGTTAAAACAATACTTAAAGAACTAAAATCCACAACAACAAACTCAAAATCAAACTCCATACCAACAAAATTTATCAAATGCCTTCCAAAGAACTAAATCCAACTAACTTAGAAAACAAATCATTGATACCAAATAAAACAAAAGTACCAGGAATCCCAATACAAAATTGATTTGAGGCACTGGAAACGGATAAAACTGAAAATACCAAAAATTTTAAATCTCAACTGAGTAAAGACATCAAAAACGAAAAACAAACACAGAAAAATCTAAAGTCAAACAACAACCAGAGGAAAATTAAAAACCTAAACCTAGGAGTAGATCAAATAGTATGGAACACATGGGCATTGATAATTATGAAAGCAAACCCAGGATAGAAACAGAAGAGGTTTCTCCATCTATGAAACCAAAACAGAATAAACATGTCCTAGAGCAACCATTTTGCAAAGAGAAAATTAAATGTAGGGAAATTAGAGCACATTTTGAAGAAACCAAGCAACTGATAGCAAAGTATAACCCAAATATAGTCTGCTGGCAAGAAACAGTGCAGAAAGAATCTGACAAATTACACTTTAAAGGAAAAAAACTACAATAAAGCCATGGACCAATCAAATTTTTTCTGTTTCTTAATAATTTGCTTAGCTTTTGAAATGCATCCTTGGCTATCCAACTGTGCCTTTGGATTTCAGTGTTGCACTTTCCGCCCTCTGTCCAGACACTTCCCAGATATTTAAATTTTTGTACTGGTTTGATTTTGGTATCTCCAATTTGTAATTTGCATATTGGGCTCATCTTTTTGCTAACAGCCATGCATTCTCTCTTCTTGCAATTGATGTTTAGTCCTTTCTTCTTGCTTTCTTTCACTACCTTTTGTAGAAGTTCTTGTAGTTTCCTTTCCATATCTGCTATCAACATCTTGTCATCTGTATATCTTATGTTAAGATTGTGGCTACCAATTATCTCAGAATCACCTCACTGCATAAGTTCACTAAGTCTGGTGAGAAGATACATCCTTGTTTTATTCCCCTTTTTATTTTTGTATATTTACTGAATTCATTTTCTATCTGTATGCAGGATGAGATACTAGACTTGAATACAAGCCATAGCTATTAAAACCATTCTTCATCATTGATTAACCATATGCTCGCTATATATCCCTCCAAGATATAAATTAGAACAAACCAAATTAATAAACTAATTGACCAATTACACACTCCTTTCTTATTATTCTTTAATGGCCATAGCCAACTTTGGGGTTGTAAAAAAAAAAAAATCAACCCAATTGGAAAATTGAAAAACAATACAAACTTATGATTTATGTTTATTGAATTACAAATCCTCCACGTACCTTCATCCAGCTTCAGTCTCTATGTTAGCCATAGATCTATTAAAATTTTCTCCCCGTCAACCTTCATGGATTTCCAATAGAGATTCCTTAATGATCAATGTGTGAGTGACCACTCTATTTTCATTGACTCCAGTAAACCAATATCAGAGGAAAGATTCCCAAAATAGCAAATCTATGCAGCAAACTGGCAGACATTCACAGACCTCTGTCAATCATTAATTACCAATAGAATACACAAAGAACCAAACCCACTGATCTGTTTCACAAGTTTAGTAGTCCAAGTGGCAGGACAAACAATCCCCAATTCTTCAAAAATCGCAAGTCAAACATAAACCTTGGTTCACAATGGAATGCAGGAAAGCCATTAAAGACTGAAAAGAAACATTTAAAGTTTCAACTTCATCTAACAAAAATTAACCTACAGAACTTATCAACAAGATTCTTCCTGATGTCATCAGTTCTCAACTAGGCATCTATGCAGACAACACTACCGTTTTCTCCTGTCTCAGTAGTAAATCTGGCATTGCTGACAAAGTTAACCTGGCCATTGGTTTCGAAAATGACCTCCGATCCGTTGTTGACAGGGCAGGAAATGGCTTGTAAACATTAATGCCTCCAAAACAAAACTGCTCTTATTTACCCACCATAGAGAACCCTCCCTGCCTCCTGTCAGCATGGCTGATGCTCAACTTCACTAGAGTTTCTCTCTGTGCCTTTTTGGTCTCACGTTTTCCACTGACCTGAGGTAGAACAATTGCATTGAATCAATAGCTTCCTTTACCGCAAGGAAATTTGGATCTCTGTGTCACACCAGAAGGTTTTTCTCATCTGAGTCCATCCTTCAAATCTATAAATCTACCATTCGTTCTTGCATTGAATATTGTTGCCATATATGGTCTGATATACAATGTGATAGGTCCTGACCTGGCATCTCAACTACAGTCACTTTTTCACAGATGCAATGTGGCTTCTCTCTGTCTTTTCTACAAGTATTTTCATAGTAACTGCTCTGACAAGCTACTTTCACTGGTACCCCAACTGCAAGAATTTAACCATGCTACTGGATTGGCATCTCAGTCCCACCCTTTCATTGTCAAAACATTAAATGTAACCACCTCTTCTATTCCAACAGCTTCTTCTCTTGCACTTCCTGACAGTTAAACTCCCTTCTTCTTTCTTGCCTCCCTGATAGCTATAATCTTCAAATATTCAAGTGTAATGTCAATCGGCATCTTCTGATGCCTTAATCCCAATCTATGTCCTTCTCTTTATCGTTTCCTCAAACACCCTTCTTTACTCTTACTCTCACTCCCTTGCATGTTAGTGTCACTCCCACCTTGCTTGAGGTGAAATGCTTAAAAGAAAAAAAATAAACCTGATCAAAGGCACAATTCATAATGATGAGTCATGCCTTTGCTCAGGCTTGTTTTTAAAACCAATAAAAGATAATGATGGAAAAAATATGTATCAAAACTTGACCATAATACACCAGTGAAGGAAGAGTGGAATATGGTGAAAAAATAAATAGAAAAGCAATAAATATGAATAAGCACCTTAATAAACGAAATGAAGAAACTGCACAGAAATAATAGCACTATTCAAATACTCAAATTTTCCATCTTGGATGATCACTGAACCGGAAATAGATATCACATTGAGAGAATTTAAAAAACTTAAAATGATTCTGCCTGAGGATGTGATATTTACAGACTCCCTATCCTCTCTGGTTGCTGTAAAAAGGAAAGTTACTGACCACTCTCACATTGCAGGCATAATAGGGACTGGTGAAATTACAAAATTTTGTTGTTTTAGTATGGATACCAGGCTATGTTGGTATAAAAAGTAATGAGAAAGTAGATGAAATAGCAAAACAAACAAAAAAACTGTAACATGGAAATAACTAATGTAAAAATTCCATAGACAGATTAAAAAAAAAATTAATGATTTTAGAAAAAGCAAATGGTAAGCAATATGGGACTGATTCCCAGAAAACAAACTTTACAAAAACCAACCAAGAGTTAGGAAGACACAAAACTACTAAAAGGGGTGAAAATAGGACACTGTGCTAACTAGAATTAGTATTGGACATACATGACTTAATTGTGTACACTTGCTGAGAATGTACCTTGATGTACCCATTGCAATCATAGATTGACAGTTAAGCACATTCTGATTGAATGTAAAAGCTATCAGTTTAAACATAGTAAATACTATGTCACAAATATAAAAACATTGTTTAAAGATGTTGTCCATAGCCAGATAATAAGGTTTCTAAAAGAATTTTTAAATTTCTTTAAAAATTGTTTATGTATGGTTATATAAGAACAACTGCTTTAAACAGATTCAAATTGGCAGATTAAACAATCTATTTCAAATGAATTGTAGCTACCAAGCTGAGCTACTCCGACTATTGGAAAAAATGTATATATGTAATATATGTATTCACTTTGTTGGTGTAAAATGACCAATTAGGGTTGATATACTGTTAAACAAAAAACTCAAAGCAAACTACTGTTTATGTAATAAGTATTTAGAAGCAGCTGTTGATTTATCTTAGCTGTTTAACTCTGGCTTCTTTCTAAGTATTTTTTTAATTCTTTTGTCCAGCTACATATTGTTGCTTAGAGCTTGACTCTTGGGGCCAGTTTTTTACAAAAGCTCATTCTGTAGCATGTAATGGAGCCCATCCTGTATGGAATGAAGAGTTTGAACTGGAATTGGATTATTCTCATACACTTCGTATTTTATGCTATAAAAAAGGAAAAGGCAATCAAGGAGATATACTTCTTGGAAAAAGTGCTCTTGCAGTAAGTATATTTCATTTATTTATTTTCCCATTGTTTTTCAATATATACTTTGATAATTCATTATAAATACTTAATAAAAATTAACAAAATTATCGTCTCATATACTACTTACAACTGGGGTAACATAGTTTAGTCATTTTGCTCAATGAAATCTCTATTTTCATTGATTTTATTATGATTGAACTTTTCCTTATTTTCATGGACAAACCATTAGAAAGTATGGTTTAATAGCGTAGTTTTCTAGTATGTTAGAGCAATATTGAATTTAACAACTATTATTGATGCAGCAGGAGACTAAAATTATTTTGGGTATTAAGATCATCGTGATCTTTTCAGGAAGAGAGCTGTTTTTAATATACCTTAGGACTCATGAAACAGTCAACTTTGTTCCTCCAAAAATGGCAAACAATTATTTTTTTCAAACTTGTGCTTGAATACAATATTTACTATTATACAATTTTTGTTTTATTCAAAATTTAATACATGGTGTCCTTTGTGAGTTATTTTTTATCATCGAAGTTAAAACAGAAAAAAAAATACAGTATTTTGTAGTATCAAAAATTAATTTTGACACATTTTTAGGATTGAAAAGTTCAAATGCAGACATACTTTGAAAAAAAGTTTGTTTTCCCTTTAAAAATAAATTGGTATAAATCAATTCCTCTATTATAGTAAATTTTTGATTAGGTAATACAGTAATAGTATAACTGAAAGTCAAATAAAATTTAGTTGATAATACTTGATGGCATTAAAGATTCAATAGTGCCTGCAGCTTATCCTAAACTAATATTTTATTCTATTTTTATGTTTCATTGGAAAAAAAAATTTAATTTCCTGACATGGTGGTAAAAATGAAGGAAATACTATAATTAAAAAGTAAGTTAGAACAAAAGAAGAGATGTCTTAACATCTGTTATGATTTGAAGAACCACTTTGCACTTCAAAATAAAGATCACATGTATAAAAAATATTACAAATATTCAATACACATTTTTACACAATCAATTTTATTAATATCTTAGTAAATTAAGATTAAAATTTAAATTAGTGCTAATATTAACATTTCTTTATATTGTTTAAGATGGTTCTTTTGAAATAAAATGAAAATAATCTGAATCTCCATAGCCACATGTCAGCACATATATAAAATTAGTTGACACCCGCTCACATCAGGATCATTGTCACCTTTTCTCTATTCCCTTTCTCGGAGATGACTGTGGAAGTCCAACCTACTCGTGAAGAGTTGTGAGCTGGAATCACAGAGGAGTGTGAGTCGGGCCCTCCTGACAGCATGTCGCAGATCTGTTTCATGTTGGCAGTTGGACTTGAAAGTTTCACCCCGACTCCCAATGATCCTATGCCAGGAGGGCTGATTTGCAGCAACAATTTCCCAGGTCTCAGTTGATGTTGGTCTGTGTCAGGGATGTCTTCAGATGATCCTTGAAGTGTTGTTTTGGGCCTCTGCATAGCCTCTTGCTGCTGGTGAGTTCTCCAAACAGTATGATATGTGGGAGTCGCGTGGGTAACATTCGCAGTGGAGGTGATGTTGAAGGATAGTAGCCTTGATGTTGGGGAGAGATGTCTGAGAAATGACCTCATAGTTTTGTGATGCAGTTCTCCCTGATGTGAAGGATTCTTTGGAGCTTTGTTTGCTGGAACCACTCCAGATGTTTGATATCTCGACAATACAAAATCCATATCTCTCAAGCATACAGAAGAGTGGAGAGAACCACAGCTCTGAAGACCATGATTTTGGTACTTATGGTGAGGCTGTGATTGCTGAAAACCTGATGTAAGAGTGTTCTGTACATAGTATGAGCCACTTTGATTCTGTTGTCAAGTTCTCTTTTGCAAGTGACATTATCCAAGATGATGCTGCCAAGGTAGGGAAATTCATCGATGACTTCTCCGACTGTCCATCAATGTTGATGCTAACACTTAGTGCTGCTTGTTTGGGGGTAAGCTGAATGAGGATTTTTGTCTTTTAGACATTGACTTGCATCCTGAAGTGTTTGTAAGCCCCATTATACAGATTTGCCAATCTCTGGAGGTTAATGGCAGTCTGGTCCACATTGCATTGTTGTCAGCATACTGAAATTCTCATATGCAGGTGGTGGTACTCTTTTTGCAAGAATGAAGTCAAGTGAGGTTGAAGCGTCCACTTTATTGGATGTCAACATCAGGGCTAATCTTGTTGATCATGTTGACAAGGTACAGGGAGAAGATTATTGAAGCTAATACACAGCCCTGTTTAAGGCCACCAAGGTGATTCTAAGCAGGTCCGAAAGAATAAACCTATGGCTCAGCCAGCCCTCCATTCTGTTGTGGAGCATACAGATCAGAATCACAAAGTAATCTGGACAGCCAAAGCAGCAAGAATGGTCCACATTGCTGGTTTTGGAACTTTATCGAAGATTTTCTCAGAACATATACATCAGTGGTTTTTGCTGCTCAAGACTCTTCACCTGAAGTTATTGAACTCAGAAGACCATGTTGACAGTGCCTCTTAAAGGTTAAAAACCACATTAGGATTCTGGAAGGATCTGTTCTACCACAAGGAGGAGTTGATTCAGTAGTATTCACACAAAAATCTTGCCAGTGATACTTAGGAGGGAGATGTCACAATAGTTTTCACAGAGTGGGTGGTCTCCTTCTTTGTTGGCATTTGTAAATTTCTCAGGGACTGTTTTATCTTCCTAGATTTTCTGTTTCAAGACAATTAGTCTTCAGTTTGAGACCACCATGGGAGAAAAATTCCAAGGGCACATTGTTGGGAGTTTTCCCCGGTTTCATGGAGCGGAGTACTTCTTTCAATTCATGGAAGGTTGGGGTGACAGACATCCAATACCAAGCAGTGAGTTGGAGATGTTTTGCAGGAGGTCTTCCAGTGTGCTGGTGTGGTCATTGAAAAGGCTTTGGAAGTATTTTTTTTTCAGGATGGACTCAGGATCATTAAGGATGGTGACCAGTTTGATATGGCCTGTCACTGTTGATTTGATAGAACCAAAATTTACTTTGTGGATGCATAGAAATGATACATATCCTATTAGTCTGCATATTGTTGGATTTCTGCTGCCTTTGCCTGCCACTAGGTTGTTTTGACAGTTTTTTGTTGCCCTCTAATAGATCTTTTTCTTTTCAACTAAGGGGAGGTTTTCAAAAACCAGGTGTGCTTTTTGTTTTTGATTAATCAGTTTTTTCCTGATGCTCATCAAATCAGCCTGGTTTTTCCTTTTTTGAAACTGAAGCATTTCTTCAGCTGCTGAGGTCATTGCATCGTGCAGGGTGGTCCATTTTCCACTGATAGTCTCTGTGTTCGACAAGTCATTGAAGTACTTTTCAAGAGATACTTGAAAGAGCTGACATTTGGGGGTCCTGAAACTTAATACAAGTCAAAACATTGGTTACGCTTGCCTGCAGGCAGATGCCTTGGTGGTCAGCAAATAGATATTTTGAGATGTGAGAGCAAAAGATGATGGTCTGTCCAGGCATGGAAGGGTAATGTGGACATCTCTTATGTCCCAGGATTAAATGTGGATACACTCCAAGATGTGCCAGTGTTTGAATCTTGGGTTTTGCTATGTTGTTTTGTGCCAGTTCGAGAGTTGGAACAGAGTGTTGGTCATAGAGATGAAGAAGCAGGTTCGTTTCTGTTGTAGTTATTTTTCATGTACGGTGATCATGGCCAGCTCTGAAGTTGCCAAAAACCACAAGTTTATCCAATACTGGGGTGGTTTGGGTTATTGTAGAATGACTCTTTGACGGTGTCGTCAGAGACAAGGGTAGCTGCATAGTCAGGAAAGTACTATGCTTGAGTAGGATTTGGAGGTTCAAGTGTTCACTGATGGCAATGGGGATTAGGTTGTGCTGCTCCACAAATTTGGTCTTCACAGCAAAGCCAACCTGTGAATGTATTGCTCACTTGCCTCCTTTCCATTCCAAAAGATCATATACTTGGATACAATTTCTCCAAGTTTTCTTATTTGGCAAGTCTGTTTTTGCCCAAAGCAGCTATGTTAATATTGAAATAGGCCAGCTTGTGACACAAATGCTGTTCTTCCCTCTGGGTGTTCTGTGTCCTTGATGTATATCAATGTATGTACGTTCCATGCTCTGATAGTTATGGGGTTGAAAGCAACAGAATTTTTGTAAGCTTGAGATCTTAAGTTTTGACTGCAAGAGTGGGTCAACTGGTGACTGCTGTTAGCTAATCAGATATATCCATAATGATCAATGATTACCCCACCTTTCCTAGGGTCTTCTCCACTTGTAGTGGGTTGTGAAAATCCTGAATAGGTCAGCCCAGTCATGAGTCCAGCTGCCACATCCTCGTGTCATTGCAGGTCACAAGGGATACAACCATCACAAACCTACCATCACTGTGTGGGCATGGACTAAGGGCCTCCAGTTAACTAATCTTTCCCCCATTGCCTGTGGGAGTATTGCTGCTGGATTTGCTGAAGGGTAGGAGAATTTAATGAGGCCATTTGCGTATTTGATTTCAATGGACAATTCTGCGGGGAAACACACACACTTAGCCAGAAGCACCTCTCTCATGGCTCAAAGGGGATTGAGACAAATGAGATCTGGCAAACCTGGTTGCATCAGGCTGTTAGATGTTTGATCTGTCAAGGTCTACTTTGGTTACACCAGCCTGACTGGCACTTCCCTCTTTCATCAGTTTGGCTGTTGAGGTGTAAATCTTTGCCTATTCTGCCATTGGCAGTCTTCAGTCTGGTTCCTCCTTCTCAATTCTTACCCCCATGGAACTCTAAATGGTTTTGCTCTTGGAATCACTGGGATACACAAAGCCTCTACCATAACAAGGTGTGACGGTTACACACCTGGCCCAGTGTCGGATCCTTTGGTTACGGCGCCAACGGTGACGTCGCTCCTCCTGGTCGCTCCTCCTGGGTCCAAGCGTGCCGCTCCAACCCTTTGGTCAGATGATCACCAGCCTCGCCTTTCCCGACTCGCTTCCAATACCTGGTCACTAAAGC